TAAAGGCATAAATGTTCTTTAAAGCATGGACTAAAATGAAATCTGAAAGACTTTGTTATATAACTATATTCTTTTACTTTTAAATTGCTTTTAGTTTTTAATCTATTTTCATTAGTCTATGCTTTCACTATATATTTACATTCCTTTTGGAGATTGAGTGTATATACATATGTTTACATGCATATGTAGACATGTATTTTATATATATATAGACATACATGCTTATTTGTACATACATATGTACATATATTCACAAAAAATATCTTGATAATTTTCAATTTTTTTCTTCCATTGCTACCCACCGTTTCCCCTCTTTCTTTCTTCCACAAGCCTGCCTTTATTTTACTATTTATTTAAATTTTAAAATGATAATGTTAAATGAAAGACATCAGACACAAACTTAATTATTTCATGGCTTATATTAAAAGAAAGTTCTATCCTTATGAACATTACCTTGCCCCCTTTTTCCTTCAATGATGCATATATGATCAAAACAGGATTCTCATTACTGCTGACTAGAATGTACTATTCATGATGTCAGCCACTTAAGACTAACTCATCTTGTACACACTAAAAATAAAAATAAATATTTCACAAATTATTAATAGTATAAAATTTCTGTAACTTTAAGTAGTTTAAACAATTATTTCTTACACAGGCTCTATCTCCTTATAAATTATTGTAACTAACCAATTTCTAAATAAAAGGGAATTGTTATTTAATTGTTAAAATCCATACAGATATTTAACAAGTTTTTTTATATATCTATCCAGGTTATGTAAAATTATTCCCCATGAAAACTGTACTTGTTGGTCTTTCTATGAAATGTTCAATATTAGAAAAACAAAGAATTGCAAAATAATCCTAAATGTACCTGCTAATACTTGTATTAAGATCTGAGTTTGAAAAGGCTTTGGAATAACTTTCTGGCTTCTTTTATTTTGCTTTGAAAATTACTTAATAAAAAATATGAGGCAGGGAGATAGATCTTTGGCAAAGGAGAAGGGGATGGAGAAGGGGAGAGAGGAGCTAGGGGGCAGGGGGGAAAGAGGAGAGAAAATGACATCAAAATTCGCTATATATAGGTACATTGATCAAATCCCCGAAGCAAATGTAATCACCAGGTACTGTACTAAATTGTAAGTACCAGGTACTGTACAAATACAAAGTTAAAATAAAAGCAGTGGCAAGCAATATTAAAATTTTACAGATAGAGTGAATATGATAATAACAGAGAAGTAAGGAGTAAAATATTATGTGAACTAAAGGTCAGACACTTGTACTGTCCTGGCAGGTAAACTTAAGGTCCAAGTATAACTGAAATATTAGATAATACACCTAATAAAAATGTTTAAATGAAGAAGAATATCATATTGAGTTAAAAATGTATAAGAAGCTAACTGATTAATCTCACGTGTCCATGTCATCACATGACTGTTCATAACCAAAAACTTTAATGAATCTAACTGGCCATCAAGAACAGAATATTTGAAATGAATCACAGAATAATTTGTGTCATGTTTTCTCAGTATGCCCAAGAGAATAGATTATCTGCAAGTATGTGTTAAATAAAAATAGTAATAGATCTGATATATATGTACATAATAGATAATTTTCAGATTAGGGATGTTGAGTTATATTTGAGCATCCCTAACCTGAAAATTCAAAATCTGAAGGGCCCCAAAAGCTGAAATATTATAAGTATTAACTTGAGACCACAGTGGAAAATTCCACCCCTGACCTCATGTGATGGGTTATAGTCAAAACGCAGTGTATTAAATATACTCTATGATGTAACCATTAGACTAGGTGCATGTGAAACAGAAATGAATTTAGTGTGTAGATGGTTGCTGCGTTGTTCAGCTTTCCTGTGGCTGGAGCAAAATATCGATATGCACAATATAAATATGGGACTGGCTTATGTCACTCATGGCTTCGAAGATTTCAGTCTATGAACACTGATTAGATTGCTGTGGGTTCTTGGTAATGGCCCAGAATCAACTGCACAGATAAAGTACCAGGGAGAGATGTATCTCACAAGTGGCCCTCCTCTGCCTGGTCCACACCTGCTAACAGTACATTCAGTGATGAACCCTGCAGCCAGCACCACCATGGCCCATTCACCTGTGGAAGAATCTCTTCATTCAGTGAGTCTGACTGTGAAGATTGCCTAGCACAGATCCTACCTTGACATATGTGTATATACGTATATGCAAAAATATTCCGAATTGTAAAAATAAATAAAAAAAAAATACAAAGCACTGTTAAGTAAAAGTACTTAATCTGTAGCAGCTACTTCCAAAAAATGAGAGACTTGGGATTCTAAAAGAAAGTTCCAAGCCTTTTAATTTGTATTTGTCTTTATGGCTTTATTTTTGTTTTTATTTCTATATTTATTTATTTATTTATTGCAGAACCGGGGATTGAACTCAGGCTCTTGCACTTGCCAGGGAAGCACTTATTCCACTGAGCCATCCTCCCAGCCCCTAAGTGGCAGAAGATTTTTTTTTTGTTAGTGACTTCAAGATGCCTTCAGGACATTTCTGGTTTGGCATGAGTATCTGGATTCCAAGCACAGCATCCTGAGCCTGACTGCTTTGTTTAAGCAGACACTTAAACAACTGAGCTAATAGGCAGGCCCCCTTGATTGCTTTAATGCCTGAAAGAAATGGATAATTTAACAGAATGTATTAAATGAATGTCTGTTTGTTCACCTGCACTTCATTGTCACCATTTGTGGCTCAGAGGCAGTAAGTGACACACTCAAATGTGAGCGTTCAGTATCTTTGGGTTATTTGTAGTAAGAGATCGCTGCTAGTATTTTTGAAGGAACGAAAGCAGGGAGCTTGTTAGGACCTAGGGTGAAAGCCTGCAATCATATGGAGATGGCTGTTGTAAGAAAAGTTGTGTCATTAATCTTGAGACTTGTAGGGAGGGAACTGACAGGGAAATACCTTTAGTCGTTGACTTTGTTGATCTAATTCTCCTAACTGGAAGCTGATGGCTGCCACGAAGAAATGTATCTATATAGTCTGAACCACTGACATGATCCAACAGGTCTTTTGCTCAGAAGTAAGAAGAGAGCAGTGAAGGAAATACTATAAAAAAAGTGGATACAAATACTATAAACAGAATGTTATTAAATAAATGATTATATACATAAAGAAATGGATCACCTTAATTTTAAGACATGTTTATTCATAACCATTAATGTTTTAATTGAACTTTATTACATAAATTTGACATTTTTTGTACTTCAAGGAAATTAACTATGGAGATAAAGCAAGCAAGTTAAAGGGAAAGTAACTGTGAAATTTGAGACGAAATCCAAAGAATCAAATTTATTACACAAACTTCTACTAAAAATCTAGTAAAAGTGTTTTTTGTTGAGTAAAGATACTAAAAAAGAAAATATAAAAATTAAAGTAGTGATACAAAAAACAACAAAGCCCACAATAATGCTACGGGTTAAACATGTTACCAAAAATAGAGACGTCACACATGGAAAGCTTGGGTGTTTTCCAAGTTTCCTTCAAACTTCACATCTTTTTATGCCTGAGAATCAGAGTATGCTCATGCTTCAGTTGCTCTGAATAAGCTGTCAACTTGGTGGTGCTTTTTAAGTATATACATATATATAAAACTGACTATCATTTCACCATGAGTTCTATGGATAAATGTTATCAGGCAATGTCAGTCAATGTCTTACTCTACGCACCTGCTCAAGAAGCAAAATAAATGACAAAACCAAAACTAAACCCACCAGAGTACCAACATTAGGATTATTTCTTTATTCATTTTAATGAAAAAAATAAAATAGCAATGAAACAGTTTTAAAACAGGTTAGTAGGAAAGTTATAATAATTAATACATTGCATATAATTTCTTCATAGTGGTTATTCAGAGGACAAGATGCAGACATGATATCTTGCCTAAGCAGTATTAGTAAACCTTTCTTCTCATTGAACTAAGAGAAAGTAGCTGTATATCTATCCTATTTTGTATGCATATATATTTTTTTCACTACAAAATGGTCCTTTATTTATATCCCTGTATTTGTTTTGTTTTGTCAGAGATGGATGTTTCATTGCTGTCAGAGAAACTGCATTAGGAGAAGTCTTTAAAGAACCTTTTCATACTTGCTGCCAGTTCAAATATTGTAGGTACTTGAATTCAGCAAAATAACTCAGTATAGTCCAATATTCCATAATAATAGTGGGGTATTAGCAGTACTGGTAATTGTCAGAAGTTCTTGCCTTGAGCCTTTTACAGCTCAACATATTAATGTGGCATTACTTTTTATACCTTGCAGTTATATTTTTCCGCAGGATGGTTAAGACCAAATTAAAGCAAGACCTATACAAGTAAAAATGTAATGTTTGTATCCGACAAGGTCAGTCAAATCCCCTGGGGATTTACCCTGAAACCATGTATAGTACCTTGTAGATCTTTTGCCAGTGTCAGCCATCTGGATAAGTCAGGGCCATTGCTTGACCAATTTGCTCCCTGTGAAAGCCTGAGAGACTTTTTTCTCACTAGGTGGACTCTCCTTAGGCACACTATACATCGTCGATCACTTTCCTCTATGGCCCCATAATGTCCTTGATCTCAACATTAGGATCAAACAGAGTGTTTTTAATTTGTGTATTGTGTGGTATTTTCTAAACCTTAGATTCTTCAACTTAAAAATATGTAAATGATGGACAACCTTACTGGGTTAGTGTAAATTTACTTGAGATCCACACAGCAAGTGTTGGTATACAGTTTGTATGAGAGTAACTTCCGTTTCCTTAGTGTCCTTCACCTCTGTCTCCCTGGGACCTTGTTTTCCATTCTTGCCTTCATTTCTGCCTCCTATAGAAAGTTCATATTGCTAGTCCTTTCACAAATGTGCTGGAGCTTTAAAATTAACCATGCAGGGTCTCAATGAATGAGCTGGTAGTTGAGGGGTTTTTGTGCGCCATCTTTGTTAGCACAGTCAAGCCTATACACAAGCAACCATGTTGAAGGGACCTGCAGTTGGCATTGATCTTGAAACTATCTACTCCTATGTAGTTGTCTTCCAGCATGGAAAACTGGAGATAAATGCTAATGATCAGGAAAATCAAACCACTCCAAGCTACGACACTTTCACTGATGCCGACCAACTGATTAAAGATGCTGCAAAAAATCAAGTGGCTATGAACCCCACCAACACAGTTTTTGATGCCAAGTGTCTAATTGGATGTAGGCTTGATGATGCTGTTGTCCAGACTGATATGAAGCACTGGCCCTTCATGATGGTGAATGAGGCAGGCAGGCCCAAGTTTTAAGTAGAATACAAAGGAGAGACAAAGAGCGTCTACAGAGCAGGTGTCTTCTATAGTGCTGACAAAGATGAAGAGATAGCAGAAGTTTATATAGGGAAGACTGTTACCAATGCTGTGGTCACTGTGCCAGCTTACTTTCATGACTCTCAGTTTCAGGCAACCAAAGATGTTGGAACTATTGCTGGTCTTAATGTACTTAGAATTATCAACGAACCAACAGATGAAGCTATTGCTTATGGCTGAGACAAAAAAGTTGGAGCTGAAAGAAATGAGCTGATTTTTTTATTTAGGAGGTGGCACTTTTGATGTGTCAATCCTCACTATTGAAGATTGAATCTTTGAAGTGAAATCTGCATTTGGAGACACCTACTTAGGTGGGGAAGATTTTGACAACCTAATTCTCAATCATTTTATTGCTGAATTAAGTGCAAACATAAGGTCGTCAGTGAGAACAAAAGAGCTGTCCACTGTCTTCGTACTGTATGTGAGTGAACTAAGAGAATCCTCTCTTCTAGCACCCAAGCCAGTATTGAGATTGATTCCCTCTAAGAAGGAATCAACTTCTACACCTCCATTACTCATGCCCGATTGGAAGAGTTGAATGCTGACCTGTTCCGTGGTACTATGTACCCTGTGGAGAAGGCTCTTTGAGATGCTAAACTGGACAAGTCTCAGATCCATGACATTGTCCTGGTGAGTGATTCTACCTGTATCCCCCAAATCCAGAAGCTTCTTCAGGACTTCTTTAATGGAAAAGAATTGAATAAGAGGATCAACCTTGGTGAGGCTGTTCTCATGGGGCAGCTGCTCAGGCAGCCATTTTATCTGGAGACAAGTCTGAAAATGTCCAAGATTTGTTGCTGTTGGATGTCACTCATCTTTCCCTTGGTATTGAAACTGCTGGTGGCATCATGACAGTCCTCATCAAGTGCAATATCAGCATTCTTACCAAGCAGACCCGTACCTTCACTACCTACTCTGACAACCAGCCTGGTATGTTCATTCAGGTATATGAAAGTGAGCGTGCCATGACCAAGGATAACAACCTGCTTAGCAAGTTTGAACTCACAGTCATACCTCCTGCACCCTGTGGTGCTCCTCAGACTGAAGTAACTTTTCATATTGATGCCCATGGTTTTCTCAATGTTTCTGCAGTTGATAAAAGTACAAGAAAAGAGAACAAGATTGCCATCACTAATGGTAAGGGGCATTTGAGCAAGGAGGACATAGAGCTTATGGTCCAGGAAGCAGAGAAGTACAAAGCTGAAGATGAGAAGTGAAGGGACAAAGTGTCCTCCAAGAATTCATTGGAGTCTTAGTTATCAATATGAAAGCAACTGTTGAAGTTGAGAAGCTTCAGGGCAAGATTAATGATCAAGATAAACAGAAGATTCCTTACAAGTGTAATGAAATCATCAACTGTCTGTTTAAGAATCAGACTGTGGAGAAAGAATAATTTGAACATCAACAGAAGGAGCTCAAGAAAGTCTGCAATCCCTTCATCACCAAGCTGTACCAGGGTGAAGGTGGCAGGCCCAGAGGAATGCCTGGGGCTTCCCTGGTGGAGGAGCTCCTCCCCCTGGTGGTGTCTCCTTGAAACCCACCACAGAAGAGGTTGATTAAGCCAACCCAAAATATAGATAATAGCATTCTTCCACAACCAATAAATAAATTTTGAATGGACCAAAATTTGTAGCAAATTCTGTTGCAGTCATTAAAGTTGAGTTGCTGTAGTAAAGTACTGGGCAGTCTCAAAATCTGCATAATGGAACATGTACACGGGGAAAGATAACATTGCTCTTTAAGCACTGTACTATAAGTAGAAATACAAAGTCTTCAATACAAATATTTAAATTGGTAAAAAATAAATAAAATTCGCCATGCAGTTTCTATGAAAATACTGTTCTACATGAAGGCAATAATTCAGAGCTTGCCTCCTAAATACTCTGAGATGAAGAGATTTACAGTAGCTTGTCTGGAATCCAACAATGTAAAGAACAGTTTATTCTATTATTTAAAATATGGGAATTGAGGAGATTTAACATGTCTGTATTGAGGCAGAGGAACGTTGGAGCTACTCATAGAAAATAAACTATACGATGTAAATATTAACAGTCATTAAAAAGCAAATAACTACTAATACACTTGTAATGGAGTATCCTAATACCCTGCTGTCACAAACAGACAGCTCAACTAGGCAGAGATCAATGAAGAAATAACGATCAGCCTCTTCTGTTTATGTCTCTGTCCTATCACACCTCTTGTCCTGGGACATCAAGGGCATGGGATACTGTTGTCACTGTAGAGAAAGCCCCATGCTGATCGGTTCCCCACTATCTCCTCTGCAGAAGAGGGTGTCCCATCTCCCACTTGTTGCTCCCCAGCAGCCCAAGGCTGCTTAAATTCTATGCAAACAATTGTATTCCTGTACCTCTCTGAAGTCACTGGTTGCAGAGCAGGAAATGTTGTGCGGTTCCACTCATTACTTTCACTGCCTCTGCTGTGGTCTCTAACCTTCTTGTACTATGGGTTGCAGTTAGCTGCTATAAGGCATGAGAGAAACAAACAAGCACACAAACTGGTGGACCATTGGGGAAAGAACAATTTCCTGGTCACTTGTCCCTTTGTGTGCAGGTGAAATGTGCTGCCACATGGCAATGTACTTTGTGTGGCAGAATACCAAGAGGATGAGCTACCTTACGTCCAGTTCTATCTTGCCAGCTTGAGTTAGGCACACTGTTGAAGTCAATCAGTGTTTTGCAAACTTCCCACGATAGCAGTTCCTTCCCCCTGTGCAGACAGCAGTTTCATCCATAGCTCTGTGTGCTGAATCACCATTTTATAAAATTCTATGTCTATGCTTTGTCTGATCTATAAATCTCTTAATTTTGGATTGATTTTGACACTAGTGTGTATGACCCTTCCTGCCTTTTAGTTACTTCTCTTTTTAGTTGATTTTCTCTGAGTATCTCCAGTGTAGCTCCTTCATTGAGCCAAGTTGAATCTTTTCAACGTTGTGTGTTTTTAAACAATGCAGTGTGTTGGTCTTTACGTTGTTGTCTTCCAAACAAGTTGAAGTAAATCCCTGAGTATTTGTTGTGCAGTACTCTAAATTTCATATCACATAAATCCAAGTAATATTGACATATAATTTGCATATAGACTGCGTAGTTACATGAGCTTCATTGTATATTACTCCATGCAACTGTCATGGCCAATAACTTCTAAATGTGAATGGTTATTTAAAATGCAGTATTGTTTTGTTTTCTTCAGATAAAACTCTAGGTAGCACAACCTTCTAGTATCCTTGACCTTCAAGGAAATAATTTTATGAATTTATTTTATTTTCCACATACTTTCGAAGTAATTTAAGATGTATAAGATGTTGGGAAATAATCCAAAAAATATTTCATGTACTCCATTTAGCTTTCTCCAAAGATAGCATGCTATAAAACCATAGTAATTTATCATGAAGGAAATTGACACTACTACTCTAATAAAGTATGGATTTAGTCAGGTTACGCCAGCCTTTGTATGCATTTTTCAAGGTATGGCTCTGTAATATGTCATCACATGGATGCATTTGTTTAACCATTCTCACGAAGAGTATGCACAATTGTTCTACTAGCACAAAAAATCACCAAACTTTCCACAACACTTATCTGTAAGTCGTTTCAACAACCACCAAACTGTTTTCTAACACTATTATTTTGTCAGTTAAAAAATGTTAGATAGGAGGCCGGGGAGATGGCTCAGTGGAATAAGCACTTCCCTGGCAAGTGCAAGGGCCTGAGTTCAATCCCTGGTTTTGCAAAAAAAAAATGTTAGATAAAAGCAAATTATTTCCCTACCTCCAGTTTTGTTTGGTTGTTTTAACCGAGGATTGAACTCAGGCCCTTACGTTTGCCAGGGAAGCGCTTATTCCACTGAGCCATCTTCCTGGCTCCTACCTCCAGTTTTGAAAGGAATGGAAGAACAAGAGATAGAGGAAGAGGCAAAGTGGTAGGGGGAAAGGAAGAAGAAAGATTGGAAAAAATTAAAGGGGAAAAGAATGATTGGAGAAAGAGTTTTTGCAAATGGAATATGGGAAGGGTCCAAAAGACTGAAGGATCAAGGAGGGAGAAGTGTAGTAGATTTAAAAAGATTTTTAAAAATAGGATTAATAGATATATTTTGTACACATACCAACTTTATATGATAACTGTAATTCTTATGTACCACACATATGTACTAATAGTACCATACGGTACATAATTTCATTCTTGGTTTTTTTTTTTTTTGTTTTTGTTTTTTTTTTTCAGTACTGGGGATTAAACTCAGGACCCTGTTCTTGCCAGGCAAGCACTTACTCTACTGAGCTCTTTCCCCGGCCCTATAATTTCATTCTTTTAGAATGATATTTTGATGTATTTAGTCAATTTCTAAGAGTTGCTGAAGTTCTAAAAGTTTCAACATTACTGTAAAGTCCAAGTCCAAAGTTTTCTCTGGGATTTAAGAGCAACTCTGAGCTGCAATCCCCTGTAAAAATGAAAAGTTAAAATATTACTACATAAAAGACATAAGATTAACATCCACATTCCAAACTGTAGAAATAGAGAGATTGAGTAGAATGTGACCAACGCAGGACCAAAATTCAGCAAGACAAACATTAAATCCCTTCTGTAGCAACGTGAGTCAGTGTAGTGAGGTATGAACTCCACAGAGTACAGGTGGCCTACCTCTATGCTATTGCCAGTGTTTGCAGCCCTTATAGTTTCTCTTTGAGGCTGGCTGTACTCACTCATTGTGATTTTCTTCAGATGTTCCATGTTGCTGTTTTGCCAACATCATGGAATCTCCATTGTCCTTTGGCCTTCACTGTCACAGATTCATGTGCTGTCCTGTAAGTTTCACACTGCTTCGTCTCCCAGACCTTCTCCTGAAATCTGGGTGGATGTTTTAGTGACCCCCACACTTCTTGCAGTCCTCATGTATATAACCAGCACTTGGAGGCCTCCAAGTTCTACTACCTGCTCAAGTAATAGCTGAGCCTTCTTGCATTTTGCTATTTGGCTGCAGAAGTGCCTGACTGACCAGATGAACCAGCATGCACTGACTCTGAGGAAATTAATTTCCATACCTGAGGCTCCTGCCATTCTAGAGGATTAGGCCTGGTCTTAAAGAAAAACTTGTACCACTGCGATTGTCATCCTGAACAGGTCCATTGCTGGCTCTTCACATAGCCTAAAGACAGTCTTCCTATTGTCTTCTTCTGATGTACTTGTCTCTTTTTAATGCTATTTCCACCAGCAGGCTCTCCTCTAATTCATCTTTACAGGCTTAAACTCCAAGGGCCGGGGAGATGGCTCAGTAGAATAAGCGCTTCCCTGGCAAGAGCAAGGGCCTGAGTTCGATCCTTGGTTCCACAAAAAAAAAAAAAAAAGTCAAACTCCAGAAGAGCTTTCTTTCAGGCCAAACCCCAAAACTTTCTAAATCATTCACTTGGGCCATTTGTTCTTGGTTATCAATGTAGAGCTGTCTACCACCCCCAACAGTACCCAAGTCACAGCTTGAATGTTAGGCTGCCATGAGATTTTCTCTGCCAGGTCAATTAGTCCTTTGCCCCTATGCCAATCTCCTGCAAAGTCTTATGACATAACCAAAATTCAGACAAATTTTCTGACAAAGCATAATACCCATGGCCTATAATTCAATTGCCAATGGAGTTCTTCTCAGCCAAATCATCTTAAGCCTGGTCTTTACTAGCTGTGACATTGCAGCCTTCTGAGTTCAGACAAATATCTTCCATCAAGCATGGCTTACAGCCTTCTAGGGATGCTTCTCCAGCTGGTACACCCAAATCTTTCCAAACTTCTCCCATAACCCAGTTGCAAAAGCTTCTTACCACATGGTGATGTGTATGTCCCTGTAACAATTCCATGTCTTTGGTACCAAAAATCTTTGTCAGGTTCATGGGAGGACTAAGCACATGCCACTCACATACAGTAAGTCAATCATTTAGACATACCCACAACTGTGCCAAGACAAACAGCAGAGCATTTCTTATTCAAACTGACACCATAATTAGCTATCATAGCCCCCTTCTTTATCACTGGAACAGTACCTTCTAGTTCCATATCCTCTCTCCTTTGCTATTGTACTTAATTTATTTTTAACTTTCTTAAATAAGATGAAATGTGCAATTTTTAACTTTCTAAGATGGCTTAGTTTGCTTAATATAGTGGTTTCCAGTTCCATCCACTTTCCTGTTCATTAAATGATTTGCTTTTTATGGCCTACTAATGATTGTCTATATATAATTTGATTTCTTTCTTTTTCCATTTGTATTTTTTTTTCATTTTGTTCTCTCTCTTGTCTAATTGCATTGCCTAAAGTTTGAAGTAGTATACTAACAGAAGTAGTAAAAGTGAAAATCCTTGTCTCATTGTTAATTTGGGGGGAAATGCTTTTAGTTTTCCCAACTCATTATGGTGTTAGCTGTAAGTTTCTCATATATGGCTGTTGTTTTCAGTTTTTCTTTTTTATCATGAAGTGTTGAATTTTGCTGATGCCTTTTCTACATACACTGCAATTTTTTGTGATTTTTGTCTATTTTATTTATGTGATGTATAATATTTATTGAT